ATTTAAAATTACCAGACCATGTCAGGGAAAAAAGCCTCCAAAACAACAATACAATTAAACATAGTGGACTGAAGTTCTATCACAACTGTGTTTAAGAAATTAGTAATTCCACCTTATGTCCATTTGTGGAGTGTTTGCATCTCAGAACATAGATGTGGATGTTGTACATGAGGAAAAATGATGTTGATGGATCTATTTTTGTCAAGTGGGCTAGTGATAAGAGGTGAGTGCATTATACCTAAACAGGAAATTCATCTTTGCATTTAATTGTATTCAGTTTTCTCCTTTGAGTATAAGAGGCCAACGGGACACCTTATGGTACAGTAAACATTACTATCCAGGCCTCTGCTGCCCAAGCGTTACCACAGGGAAGTTATATCAATCTACAGGAGGCCTTTATCAATCTAAGAACAACAGTTCATCACTGCTAAGAGATAAACACTCAACTACAATGAATTCTTTTGTTGTTAAAGGTGCATTTGGCCGTCCGTGTACCAAACATTATAGTGACAGACTGCCAAAACTTTTAACTAAAACAACTTCCCTTTCAAAGAGGAACTTCTTACTGTATAAGTGTGACTGTTCTTCGCTTACAACTTTATTCAGTGTGTCATCAAATCAATAAACTTATCGTAAACATACTCCTCCTAATCTTTGTTGCCAACAGTTCAACCAAAATGTGACTTTTACTTCTCAAATTGCTTGAAGTAGCCTATTTTCAGTACCTTGGAGAGGTAAATGTGTACACATGGAGAAACAAATCCCTTTAATCATCTAGTGACACTTCAAGTTTATCTTGGAAGCACTTTTAGGGTCTTGATCCCCCAGTCTGGGACACTATGATCAACAAAATACCAGTGTAAAACTGAATCCTACTGCTTTCTTTTTTACTCTATAGTCAACCAATCCGAGCCATAGTACAACACACAGTTATGTATTAAAAGCAGTTTATATTAAAAAAGCATGAAAACCATATTAAACTCTATCTGGCTTTACTCTTGTGTCATGTGAGCTTGTGTTTCTCCCACTATATGATTCCCTTCGGAGAAGCTGTTGGATGTCACTGGTATGTGCTGATTAGAATCCCAACCAGCCCCCCTTTTCATTCCTCGTTTCAAAAGAGGAGGTGGGGGGAGATTTTTTGAATGGAGGCACAACAAAGCATGCCTTTTCATGGGAACGAATCCCCCTTTAGCTGAAGATCTCACCCACGGACCAGGGAAGCAAGACCTGGAACTAATTACACTAACGAGTTCACCCAGATCGAGTGAGTGAAATCATTAACAACCATTTAATATGCGCAAATGTATGTGCACTCGGACACACAGAGCTAGACAAATCAAATTAAATACTTAAAAAATGGTTCTTTTGCTGCCCCTGGCATGGACTGATCAGATTCCTCATAGCTTCTGGAGGAAATACACTGTAGGAAACAACAAAACTCGCCTCTTCCCATCCTTGCGCTTGTACATGAACACAGCATTTTCCACAAAAGCATAATATTTTCAAGGCTCACAAATGTATATGCGGGTTTGAAACACAGCTTGGGAACAGACAAAAAAAAAGTGCCTGAACGGGGGAGGAATTTAAATCTCAAAGCATCATTAGACTGGAAACGTCATGTTGGCATTAAGGAGCTGCAAAGAGTCTGTGCCAACCAAAGGCTCCGAGAGAGTCTGACAATAAGCGCAGAGCAGGCGGCGCAGCTCAGCCTGCAGGGATTTGTCACAGACTGAGAAGCAGGACTCACTCCACAGTAAAACACTGAAATTGACTTGGTTATGGGCTAGAATATAACAACAGTAAGGTAGTAAACAAAGACCGATGGAGAGCCGAACAGCTGCACTCCCCTATGGGACAGTGCTGGCAAAAGTGAACAGCTGGAGAGTAAAGTACAGTGTGCTGCAGAGAATTATCCAGCCATGGCTTCAGCTGTAGCATGTATCACCAACACAAATCATATGGCTATACTGTGGCTATACAGAAAAAAGGCAGCAGGCTAGCGCTTTATCAGTTCCTAATGACGTACATGCGCTAAAGAACTCCCCGATTTGTGTCTGTTGACTCCAGTTTCTGCTGCTTTGTCGCACGCTGTACTGCTATGAAATGCGAGGGATACAAAGCATCCAAAGCCAACCATCGACAACAATGGGAACTCGTGTAGTTTGTAAAGGACCACGCCGAGCATCCACACCCATGTGGATGCTGACCTAAATATGCCTCCCATATAGAATAAGATTGGCTTTAATCCACCCAGGGTCTACAGGACGAGCCACTGCACATATTTGCAATAAAAACGGCATCTAGACCAGTTGTCCCATGGTAGTTTTCATTCCGTTATGTAACATTTTAAAGCGCAGCAAGCAAATCACCCTGTATATGGACTCAGCGTAATGGGTAACTGCTGGTGTTCACAGCGACTTACTGGGGACTTTATCGTTTCTGTGTCAAAGCCGGCCGTCCAGCATGGCAAGACTTTACTCGAAATGAAGTATATGCGCCTTTACTCGCCTGTCGGTAGCCCCGCGGAGAGCCGAATGGCACAGCAGTTTATTATTCCTTCCCCTCACAGTCCCACGGAGAAAATTTACAATCGGAAGCGCTTTCTCCCTTTGAGCAGGCTTATAGACTTGTCCAGGAGCCGCGGACAGCTCCGGTGCTGAAAATCTTCTTCTGCTCCTTCTTGCACCCTCCTTCCTTCCCGAGCTACTCCCTCAGCATCTGAGGAGGCACACAGCTCGCTGGCATCTGAGGCAGGAGGAGACTTTGATGCAGAGTCGCAGATGAACGGTGGCTGAAGTTAAATCACGGATGTATGAACATCATATTTGCAGGTTCCCCCTCCCCCTCCCGTGAGTTAGTGCGTCGTGATCGTTCAGGTTAATAATTGTGCGCTCCTCGGTCTTGAACCTGGAGCATTACTGATTGGCAGAGACCACCAGCAGCGTTGCAGGTCCCAAAATAATGACGTTAGGAAAGATCCTTCCGTAGCAGCCAATTATGTCACACGGAAATGTAAAATGTAACCGGGGGTTCATTTGGAGAATGGCTCTGCAAATGCATTAGAATCCCATTCCAATCACATTATTTAGCAGAAGAGGCGGGGAGGGCGGCCTCACAGTCTAGAGTCAGGATTACTGTATGTGCACATGTAAGCATCAAAACTGCCATTAAATCTTGAATTTCTTTTCGAATAACTTTTATTTTTATTTGGGGAGTGATCCTCACTGCCATAATAATCCTATTGTTGTCAAATGTTTCCCACATAATTATAAAGTGTTTGCAATCTTTAAAAAAAAAATCTTCCCTTAAGGACCAGGAAACATCCTGTGCTGTATAATGAATGCCATTCCCCTGTTGTGTTATTAGAAAATTGCCAGTGAAGTTTCTTGTGGCCCAGGCCCTGCAATCAGTATTTATGCTACTAATTTGTCATATTTAGCAATGAATGTACCAGTATTTCCATTTGATTTGGCTGTCACTATGTTGGAGACATTTCTTAGATTTGCCCATTAGGACAAGGAACACTGCACAACCACAGGCAGCATTGGAAGTAAAAAGGTGAGTCTGGGGTGCTTTAAACCAAAGTCCACATTCAAAGCACAAAGAAGAAGAAGAAGAAGAAGAAGAAGTAGAAGAAGAAAAAAAGGCAGCAGGTCTGCTACCACAAATTTGTAATAGTGGGCTATATAAATTATCTGACTTGACTATTTAGACATCTAAAATGGTAGTGAGGAATAAATAAGTGCAACCACGTTGGCCTCAATAATTGTTAAATAAAAGAGGTTTGAAGCCATCAGGACTTTTTCTAGAGTTTAGGTTTCACAGCCAAATGATATAGTATCCCAGTTCTTGTAGGCTATTTTTGCCCAGATTGTTTGTTTGTTTGCTTGATTGATTGGTGGTTAATGGCTCAAATTATAGAATAGCTGGCACACAGAGATAGAGTATATCTTAACAAACATAACATATGAGTGGGGAAAACGTATCTCACAGTTGTAATTTGATAACCTTTGCTTAGTCTGTGCTTTGCAACACACCCTCCAGCATCATTCCCACATGAAACTGATTTTATATAGTGACATTTGTGCAAACAAACAAACAAAATAAATAAATACAATTTTAAAATGCTCTAGAAGGAGAACAGTGAAACCCATCTTAATGGCAGCATGTTTTAATAAAATAATGCCTAGAAAAGAAAAACCCATCCATAGAGTATATTACAGCATACATACACTGCCTAGCATGTGGGGATTTAAACATAAATCTATATAAGGCAAAGGTTTGTGCACACATTTTCATTGAATTGAATTGGAAAATATGTCCATACCTTAGTGTACAAAGATGGAGTATGAGGTGTTAGTTCACAAAGCTAAATGCTGAGTCAGATTCATTACAGGGGTTTGGAAGGTAGATTCTCTGATGCCCATCCACAGCACAATATATGCTTAATGTACTGTACTATATGAATAACTGTATATACCATGTCCCACTGTGTTGTTCACAGCCAAATGGAAGGCCATGCATTATTAATGAAGGTGTAAATGCACACTAACCCGTGGGCCTTGAGGTGCACGGCCTCTTTTCTCAGCAGGAGGGAAGAAGATTTGGCCATGTCACAGGCCAGGGCATTCACAGGGGTAACATGACCCCTTCCCAGTGCACTTTACAAGACAAATAGGATATGTTGGTTTTGTTGACTGCTTTGTGCTTAGTCTTTAAGAGGACAGATGATGTTACAGCTCATTACTAAAAGTATGTATCTTACAAAAAATGGCTCTAAATGAAAAGAAATGACAAAAGAGAGGCAAAGCTTTAAACGTTACAAAAAGAAATAGCCTGAGAAGGCAGATAAAAATACACTCATCTCCTTTTTCAGAGTAGTTGTAATGGTCTCATTGGAGTGAGAACACAGGTTGCTTGAGGGCAGCCGTCACCATTAACAATCCATTCAGAGTCCAGTTGCATCCTTAGTAACATGCATGGTTCTGGAGTTCAATTTTGAAGCACTGCCTTTTCAGCACTGAATTACTTTCCCTGTGGAAGCAGAGCAGTGGAGCTGATACCACCTGATTGGTTCATTCAAGTGACAAGTACTTTACCTTTCTCTTTACGGACTGTCACTTTCTCTGTTTCTGTGCTGAACACTGCAAGAGCCCCCAGTTCATCAGTCTTATTCATTATCTGTCATGGTATTAATCTTCCCACCAATCACATTGTAGTCCAGTATGGTAGAGGCACTGGTAGAGAATGTGTTGGATACAATGGTGACATCACAGAAGCTACACTCATCATTGTTTCTGAATGCAGAACAAAGCCATTTATGTAATTTAGAAAAGAAAACAAATTTTTGTTGAAGAAAATGGTCCTATGTTTAAATTTAAACAAATTATCTCTGGACATGTACTTTAAGCTGAAGCATGCAATTCAGAATTTAACACAATTCAAATCAACAACTTCATCTCTAATTTCCAATTGTAATTTGTGGTGCTCAAAGTAACATATGTTTCTTTTTTTTTCAGAAACACTGTTCCAATCACTCAAGGTTTGCTAACTCATTTAAAATCATACTGTAACCACCTCTACAGGAGGACGCTGACAAGGCACAGAAGTGCATATTTCTCCAATTTTGTCTTATTTTTGACTAGATCTCATTTAGGTTAAAAAGAGCTGAGTCTTAATTAAAATTTAAATATCACACAAGTTGTGATACAACTGTAGGGTAAAAAAAAATCATTTTCATCATGGCTCATGTTTCACTAACTGGGCTCAGGTTTCTTTCTGTATGCCCATCTTTTAATCCAATATAGGTTAGCTTGCGCTGTTCTCATATTTCATTCCAAGCAGTTTCATTCTGTTACCTCATAAATTATGCATTCATGATCGTGGGTTTGTACATACACCATGTATGCCTCCTGTATTGCAGTCGTGTTTCTTCACAGCACTGCCAATATCTTGCTGCATTCTGCATTTGTTGTTGAGGTGGGAAACTTTTAATTGAGCAAAACACTTGCCACTAATCCTGTGACCTGAGGGATTATACTAGGTGAACGTTTCTACCCAGTGTGTTGCTTACTGCTCTTACATCCATTAGGCTCATGTGTTTTGAGATGAAAGAAGCTGAATATGTTACTGAAAACTGAAGGAACAAATACCTTTTTTATTCCTTTTGGTCAGACACTTAAATAGGATGAGGCAAGCACTCACAATCCTTTTCATGTGATTCTGGCCATCTTCTCATGAATAAAAAAAAACAAGGGATTGCATTGATCTTGTTCAAACACTGTATGTGTTTGCAGTCAAATTCCTTGTATTTTTGATACTTGGCAATAAAGTTTATGCTTATGTTTATGCTTATCAATATTTCAAGATCAACCAACTTTGTGTTCTACTCCTACATATCACTATCACTTGTCCTAAATAGGGAAAAATAATGTATGTCCACCCATATTCCAGCACTTAAAACACAATAATAGCAAATATTAACATAACCGTACCTTATTCCACCTATAATACACCATTTAAATGAATAGAACGTGCTGCATGAGCTTTAATAAAATTAGAACATGTGTAATTTGACAATGACAAACAATTTACCAAATAAAAATATGTGCTTAAGTGGCTATTACAGAACAGATTTAATTGTTTATTTATCTGTTCTAACATAACCTGCAGTTAGCATGTCCAACTTGAAGCTTAGGAGTAAACAAGCCCCACTTCCAAGGCTGAGGAGCATTTTTAGCTAACATTGTGTGGAGTTACAGTTTACAGTAAAAAGTAATTCACTGTGTAGTTTGAACTATTTTTTTCTGAGTAGCTTTAGTTAACCAAATGTAGATTTCTCCTTAGGGTAGCTTTGGTCTAGTTCCACTTCTTCCAGGATGAAGTTATTGGTGGCTTGAAAAGCTATGCTTTCAATGTAGCTTCCCCAACATTGCAAACTGCAGCCAGCCTATTACCTGCAAAAGCTTTACATTCCCCAAAAACACTTGAGGCCAGGGGCGCCGCTAGCAGTTTTGGGCCCTATGAAAAAATTTGAAGTTGGGCCCTCTACCTCACCCAAAGCTAGTCTCTGTGGGCCCCCAAAGTTCGTGGGCCCTTAGAATCGTCCTAACTTCCCCCACCCCCAACGGCGCCCGTGCTTGGGGCGACTGTGGTTCAGTGGGTAGAGCGATTGTTTCCCAGCCGGAGGGTTAGAGGTTCGAATCATGGTGCCTGTAATCCTCATGTTATAGTGTTTTTGGGCAAGACGCTGAACCCACAAGTTGCCCCCAATGCTTAGAGCCGTTGGTGCCACAGATGGCTGCCTTGGTTTTGTACTGGAAACAAATTCCTTGTGTGTAATATACTTAGCCAAATAAAGGTTATTATTATAAAAAAAAAAAAAAATTACATTTCTCTTGTGATGTGAAACATCCATCCATTATCTATACCGCTTATCTTAAAGAGGGTCACGGGGGACCTGGAGACAATCCCAGCTGACATTGGACGAGAGGCGGGGTACATCCTGAACAGATTGCTAGGGCTGACACTTAGAGACAGACAACCACACACACCCACACTCACTCCTACGGGCAATTTTGAGTCACCAGTCAACCTAAACTGCATGTCTCTGGACTGTGAGAGGAAGCTGGAGTGCCTGGAGAGAACCCACGCAGGCACAGGGAGAACATGCAAACACCACACGAAAAGGCACCGGGACTGCCCAGGGCTTGAACCTGAAAGATGTGAAAAATACAAGTAAAAAATAATATCAATAAAGCATAAATTTGTCTTGCTTGTTAAATGGTAAATCTGCCATTGTTATCATACAAGAATGGAGACCTGGACATGTGTAGCAACAGTTTCTATAGTACTGTATGTGGGGCAGCATTTAGTGAATGGTCAGTTATGTCATATATCATTACAGAACTGTTTCCTCTCCTTTACCATCCCTTTGTTTAAGATCATCATCCATCACTAGACCATGATGTTCATACAGTCTTTCAGAAGTCGTGTTTTTTCTCTTTAATACCAAGACCTT